AATTAATTCCATCAGCAACGCGCATACGTTTACAATGAAAACGAGCAAGGTTTTAATTGGCGAACTGGAAACTGCACCGGTCAACTAATTAAGGTTCGCACGTCCGCTAATATTCCACCTACTATAGAATTTCGTTGCACGTGCACCCCCCTTACATTAACGTTAACCATCAAATATCGTTTTTACCTTTTCGAAACCACCTAAAACGATTAATTTAAAACTCAAATTTGCATTCACAACCCGAAACCCAACGCATCCATAATGAATATTCAACTCGAAATTATACTATTCAAATCGAAAATTAAGTAAATTACATGTAGTAGCCTGAATTAATTTAAAATTTTTAAACTTTAAATTATACATTTTGATTTACTGTTTGAGTTTGATCCTAAACTCACAAGACTGGTTTATGTGGAGCAAAAGGCAATTACGTAACAAGGAGGTCGGTTCAGAACGGAAAGTGGAACGTTCGGATTATTGATAACTTCATCCGTCGCCATTTTAGGTGCCACTTTCTGCGTTTCGCCAGAAATGGACATGCAAAAGAACTTTTTTTATTTATTATACCTTTTTTTCTTTTGAGCACCGTTCCATTTACATACTGACGATGCAAAAATACAAAACCGTTCGATTTCGTCGCAACGTTCAAGCGAAACTTTCCCTTATAGCCCCCCAAAAGCGTAGTTTGCGTGGGTGGGTTGTTCTTGCATCTTTTAACATGTTCCATGTTGGGTTTAATTCGAAACCACCTTTAGGGAATTATAGTAAACGAGTTTAAATAGTTTATTATGTTTTAAAAACTGTATTAATTTACTTAATTGAAGAGAATACGTTGTATATAAAATGTCCGCTCGCCATATGGCACTCAACCAGACAAAACAGGAAACACGAATACCCGCAGTGTGGCGAACATCCGCTCGATCCATTGTTTCCCGAACAAGAACCACCACAAGTAACGTAAACCGTCACGTTTTGACGGCCTCTATACCATTTCAAACGCGTTGTCCACTTTTTTCTATTCACTCTTCTTTTTATTTTCGGATTATGTTCTTAAAAGCACCACGAAAATCACGTTCCAATTAGCTTCCCTTTTAAAACGCGCCTGGAAGTTTAATTTAGCAAAATCTGGCTCGCAACTAACACGCTCTCCGTTTTGAAATGCAAATTTCAGGGAAACAATTACTTTAATAGGTGCAATCCTGTAGAGAGACTCCACTCTCGCTTTAAACCCTTCAAAATTCAAGCAGCTACAAAATTAACATTTTTGCACCCGAAAATAATTATCTCCATTTAAAAAAATTAAATAATTTTTGAATATCACATAAGTTAAATTGTCCCAGAAACTCTTAAAACATCGTTTTTTTTTGCAAAATCATATTTTATCTTTCAAGTCCTCTGCTACACGGCCTTTTAATGCGTTTACATCACGGACTTTCCAGTTCGACTTTCTATTCCTTATACGCGCGTTGGCTAATGCCCCGTTTATACTTACAATCCGTACCGTTTGTAAATCGAACAAGAAGCTCTCCTAAGCTGAGAAAATGATAGAAAACGAACGAGAAAAAAAAATTTAATGGAAAAACCGTTTACTCCGCGAGAAATGGGTGAATGGCACGGACACAACAGCAACATTACATAATAATAACAATTTACCGTTAAAATACACGCATAACTGTGTACATATCTGCTATTATTCTGTTATGTTACGTTTTTATATCATTCTATTTAAAAAATATTACTTTTAAACTTATAAAGTTAATAATAAAATGTATTATTTATTTTTTAGGTTTATAAATGAAAAGAATTTATTAAGAGTTTGCAAAAAAAAAACAAGAATTTGAATTCTTTTGATTAAGCCAAGGTCGCTTGCGGCCGAAGTTCTAGAAAAATAGTGAAATCGCTATATTAAGCGATCTCGGCAAAACTCAAAACTGAGAATAAAACATTTTGACTCGATTTAATTTTGACTCAAGTCGCTTGCGGCAGAAACACTGCAATTAATATCATGTGCCTAAACAACTGATTTACACATACTAAAGCATACTTGAAACACAGAATGTAGTAATTTGCTTGTTATGTCAAAGTCTGTTGTGATGCCAAAGCAAGTTTCTCAATACAAGTGACTTGTACTATGCCAATTTTTGCTAAATACCTGCGCCAAGTTTAAAACCAGTATCATGTAGAAATGAAAATCGCCAGCACAGAAAGTGACATAATATATCATGCATAAATACAAAAATACCTCTCGCTCAGAAATGATCTACACTGGAAGACGTAGTGCAAAACTAGAATTAACACTGGAGCTAGAACTAGAAATATTCGTATTATTATTATTATTATAGACTCTTAAGAGACATCATATACAGTGTGTCCCCGGATTGTGTCCCCAAGGTATAATTGACGATAAATTTTTGAATTCAAATTCCATCTTTTACAATTAAAGTCTGGATGTCACAAAACGAAATATAACCAAGTTTTACGTCAAATGTCCTCAAACTACCAAAGTTAACGCAAGAAGTTTGTCAACCGTTGCAGGTAAAGTGGTCTTTCTGAGCAATGTACAACAAAAGTTGATTAAGATAAAATGTTTGTTATGTTAAATTATAGCCATATGCGGAATTTTATTAATTTAGCACATAAAAGAAAAAATTAGTTTTTTCTTGAAAATTTTTTTCTAATATTCCGTTTTACAATAAAAATAAATGATCTGAGTGAACTAACAATTATCATTTGATAGCTTAGCTTTAGCCTATTGTCAAATATTAATTGATCATGTTTACATTACAACATAAGATATTTATAGTGCAGTGCTATGGATTGAGGAACATTAGTTTGGAAAAATTTGGATTTTTAGTACTACAACAACAATTAAGAGAGTTGTTAAAATATTTCAGAAACAGGCAATGTGGAAAATAAAAGGAAGGAAAAAAAGCTTTTAGATGAACATGATGCGGGGTCGATTGTTGCAGTAACAAACGCAATGGATTACGGTAAAGTATCGTTAAGAAAAAGGGCAGTTCAAGTCGGTATAAGTAAATCCCATGTACAAAGAATTTATCGAGAAAATAAAATATTGCCGTATAAACCAAAATTTAACTACACTATCGAATTAGGTGATGAAGCAAAACGTTTAGATTATTGTTTGTGGCTTGGGTACAAAATTTTGAAAGACAGAACTTTTTAAAAAGCATAATATTTTCGGACGAAGCATCGTTCACCACTAATGGAGTGGTTACATCACAAAATTGTCGATTCTGGTCAAAGACTAATCCACATTATCGCATAGCTTGTGTGCTGGTGTACTGTTTCGTGGGACGGTGTTATTGGACCTTCCTTCATAAACGGCAATTTGAATCAACACCGATATTTGGAAATACTAGAAAATTGTTTATTTAATTATCTTCACGGCGTGGATTTAGAAAAACGCAATAAATTATATTTTTAACAAGATGGTTGCGGCCCGCATTCGACTATTTTAATTAGAAATTATTTAAATACGTTATTTGGAAAAAATTGATTGGTAGATGTGGTCCGCAATCATGACTGGCAAAAAGTCCGGATTTAACTATTATGGATTTTTATTTTTGGGGTTATGTAAAACAAAAAGTGTACACTGAAAATTTTAATAACAATTTAGACCGTTTCAAACAATAAATTGAAACTGTTATTAGAGAAATTCCGTTGGACCATATTTGAAAAAGTTATAAACAATGTCGGAAAAGGGCTGAATTATGTGTTAGTGTTGGTGAAGCTTTTATGTTAATTTAGTTTAGATCGAAAATGTTTTGTTAATCTTATGATTTAAAAATCTGCATTTTGCTTTTATATCCTAAATTAATAAAATTCGGCATATCGCTATAATTTAACATAACAAACATTTTATTTTAATCAACTTTTGCTGTACATTGCTCAGAAAGGCCACTTTACTTGCAACGGTTAACAAACTTCTTGGGTTAACTTTGGTACTTTGAGGACATTTAACGTAAAACTTGGTTATATTTCGTTTTATGACATCCAGACTTTAATTGTAAAAGATGGAATTTGAATTCAAAAATTTATCGTACTGTATATTATTGCAGCAACAACATTATTAAACAAATCAACGTAGTGTTATGATCATCATTAACACAATATCATCTAAGAGCTAAAACAGAAAATATGTTCTAGCAGAACTTGTTTTATTCATTTTTTTTATACTTCTTTGTGTTGAGTAAATCCAGTAAAGTTTTACGGATGTTCATGTTATAACATGTTGGTGGGCATCCGCGTTAATCCAGTTAGATTTAAAATAATCGAAAAATGAATTATTGATCAAACTTGTTTTTGCGTCAGTTCAATATTAAATCATCTCGACAAGTGAAGACTCTCTTCCTACTTCCATTAAATAGATAAACGCCAATAAATAAGCATATTCTCCAAACACTGATATTGAAGTGAATCAGTTTTAATGATTTTTTGAGTTTTTCTGTGACTATTCGAAAGCTGATCAAAAAAAGAATTAGATATGCAACAACAATAATTGCACTTCCTAGTAAAGTGAAGTGTTAGAAAAGTTCAACTTGGCAATTTGCCAACATTGCAGAAAATTTGTCTTTTCCAAGATTTATGGGAGGATTTCTGGACATTAAATATTTTGCAGTCATAATTTTATGGTGTGATCTCAATCTCAAAGTAGTAAAAGTTAAAAATTAAATTGAATTAGATCGAGGTTACAAAATTGGATTAGAAGAGAAGTATTATAAGGATTGAGTATAACCTCCACTAAATAAAAACCTCTTAACTCTTTTACGAGTTCGAAGTTGCGTCGTAATCCCAGCTGGAATACCAATAGCCGATTCCCGAAGGATTTACAACTTTTTCTATTTCCCCAAAAAAAAAAAAAGGAGAAACTTTTCCTACAAAACTTTTAACATTATCTCAAGAATTACTATTTTTAACATTTAAAATATGAAAACTCTTTTGTTCTTAACCAACCTTGACAAATATTTTTTTGCACTAACCTTTCTTTATGCATATCGCCAAATTTGGACTCGTTATTCTTCTTCCATGGGACGAAATAGTCGAAAAAAAAGTTAAACGCAAAAAGAACTTGGAAACCGATGGCACCGTTACCTCTTCGCAGCCGGTTAAAGGCCCCTCGGTACCCTACCAACACACATACAACACCAAAAAAAATAAACGATACAATTCTATGCAAACTGAGACAAGTCAAAATTAAATTCGATTTATTCGGATCGAATCTCGTTAATAAATTTCAATGCGGATAAAAACGAAAAATAGCGATTTTACAATGATCGGCGTCGCGGCGGTTGTGAAATCAGCGATATCGCGACGTTGCCTTTTCGACGTCTCGAATACGACTGTTTCATACCTGGTTGGTTGTCCCCCCTTTTTAGTGCAGAACTCTACAGGTATCCCACCAAACAACCCAGCAGCAACAGCAACGCGTTGCCCAGTTCGATTTTTGTCTCTTACTACACAGTTGCCAAAGAGAAATGTTAACCCTTTAATTATATTAACCCTTCAGTTATGTTAACCCATTTAATTACATAAAAAAAATGTTATCAAAAATTTATTATAAAATCACTAAACTTTTTAATCACCAATTAAATCTTAAAGAAGATTTTAACGAGATTTTATCGTATTCAAAAAATCACGTACCTAAAGTAGGTATTTAAAAATGAATTTAATTCTTCCATTGAAAGAGAATGGATAAGGGTAAATTTGTTAGAGGAAATTTCATTCACCTCTTGTTCGAAATCGTAAAAACGACTTAATCCGATATCACTTGTAAAAGGAAAATCGATTGTAGAACGACGTTAACACCTATCTCGAAAGCAGGAAACATTAAACGGCCGGCTCCGGAGGTAAATCGAGATGTTTAGGTATCGCATCCGTTTTAAAAATAAAATCTTAGGGAGAATAGGAAAAAAACCGTTTATTTTAACGTTGTTTACTGCATCCTAATACATATAAACTGCCTTGAAAATATTTACGAAATATTTAGAAGAATGACAAGGACAGTTTATAAAGAAAAGAAAACATTTCTATTTTGTTTACTATAAGTATATTTTTGATTTTGGCCCCAAAANACGTCATCATTGCAAGTATGCAACCAATATCACAGCATTGGTATTGCAACGATGACGTCGGGTACAATAATTAATTAAAACAACATAGATAAAGTATATTTCGACAAGAGAAATAAAGTCAGAAAGAATTTTGTAAATATATATAAATATGTTTATTTATTGCATTCCGATTTTTTAAAATCTTAAATAGTACAGCATGTAAATATCGATAGCACCGTCTTAAAAAACAACTTTATTACTTCGATAAAGATTCACATCGAATCGGGATAAAAAAAGCATTCAAAATGATAAACGTTAAATTAATTATTAAAACGGTTAAACTATTATATTGGTTACAAAATACTGAGAGAGAAATGAAAGCGAATAAGAGTACAACCATTGGCAAGACTTGGTTTTTGCGAGAAAAAAAATATATAAACAAACCCAACTTAATCGAAATAGTATATAGACAAATTACTTTTTAAGAAATTACTAATTAATAAAAACTAACGGTTATTATATAAACAAAATAAGTTAAGGATAAACAAATTATTTAAATAATTAATAATAGTGATAATAATATAATTCACTTAATTTTTTTTTAAGTACATAGCGTAAAAATAAATATAATATAGTGATTTATTTATTTGTTATTTAGAAAAAAAATTGAAACAACAATAAAACAATAATTTACTTTGCATTTAAAAATGAGATCAACACAGCATAATTTGTCTATATTTTACATAAAGTAAGCAAAAAAAAANCGTTTATTTTAACGTTGTTTACTGCATCCTAATACAAATAAACTGCCTTGAAAATATTTACGAAATATTTAGAAGAATGACAAGGACAGTTTATAAAGAAAAGAAAACATTTCTATTTTGTTTACTATAAGTATATTTTTGATTTTGGCCCCAAAAACATGTTTTATATATCAAGAATAGCATTGTGGCCTAAAAATCGATGATTTTTTTTAATGGATAAGAAATGACCCAAAAAAAGCGTTAATAATAAAAAAAATACGAAAAACTTACCGAAAAATCACCGAATTTAGTTGTCGATTTTAATTTCTTCTCAATTTTGCTAACTGTTGATTTACTAATAACTCTGTCAGGGTACTTTGCATTAACCCTTTGTGTCCCAAGAAGTCAAGCATTTTGAAACTTTGTGACAGAATTAAAACGCTATCAAAATACATTCAGTAAAGGCCTTTGGAATAAAATTTTAAAGTGTCAAAAAAGATGATAATTCAAAAATTCTNCTTTGCATTTAAAAATGAGATCAACACAGCATAATTTGTCTATATTTTACATAAAGTAAGCAAAAAAAAATCAAAATAAAAATTGTTACAATATCTGTAAATAAACTAATAATATACAAATAAATAACAAAAACAAATTCTCATTTTTTCTATTAATTGGGAATGATATATCAAAGAAAAACCCAGATTATTATTAAATTCTTAACATTACTTTCTTTTTAAATATAAAAAAGAATTATATTTACAAAATTTATCATTTACAAAGATTAACATTTAAAATCAGTCTTAAAGCTATTTGTCCTTAAAATAAGGCACTGGGTTTTTGTTTATTGTTTTAAGGCACTAAAATTAAAAAGTATTTTTTTTTCATTCATGCAAAGCATCAACAGATATCGACATATGATTTCCAATTTTGTTTGTTGTTATTTTATTCGTTACATCTTCTAAAAGATAACTCAAAACCTTTCTGACTTCGACGTTTTGTTGCGGGGCTAATTTCATCGATTCCTTTACGTCGATTAAAGCTTGATCGTATCGTTTTAAATCCAAGTAAGCTTTCGCTCTTGCGTAATAAGCTTCGTAAGATTCCGGTTTTGTGATTAATACTTCACTAGCTAATTCTATTGCTTCATCAGGTTCCTAAAAAAAGTTTTATATAGTTTATTAAAATTTTAAATCAGTAAAGGTGTTTTTACATTTAATTTTCGTTTACACCGCGAATAATTAAGAAGAAAATTGATTCTTAATTGATGAAAAGCTGTGTTATGCTCTCCTTGATCGTCAACGGGGAATTTTTTAAGTGCATATTGGTACCTATGAGCGGCTTCTCTTAATCTACTCTTCCTATAAAGTAAGTTTCCATCTTCTAAGAGTTTATTAAGAAGAATTAGCCTAAAAAAAATTTTGAATAATGTTTAAACGTCAATGTGACACTAATTCAATGTTACCACCTATAATAACCAACTTCACGACTATTTGTCAAAATTAAATGTCAATTTTATGAATTTAGGAAAATTAATTAATTTATGTTTAAATTATACGAAAAAAGGAATTTGTTTACGTTTTTTTAATGTCTTAATAGAAAGTTCTAAAAAATTAAATTGAATTGAATTTTTTTTTTAATTTTGACGTTTTACATTATTATTAGTCTGTCAAGTTGGATTACTTTAATTAATTTTTCTTACATTATCTCTGGTTTGCCTGAAGCCATGGCCCATGTAGCAGGTCCCAATTTTGCTCCTTTTTTCAAAAAGCAATGTACAACTTGGATATTTTTGCACCCAATTGCGCGATCTAAAGGTCTCATCCCATTTTTGTCAACGTGCTCGATAATCGCACCTTTTTCGATTAAAAATTGAACGACCGAGGGGTTTCCTTGAAACGCTGCCAAATCTAAAGGTGTCCTCCCGGTTTTATCGGTGTGATTTAAATTAGCTCCTCTATCTAAAAGACATTGAGCGGCCTGCAACTTTCCCCGAAGACAAGCCCAGCTTAAAGGAGTTAATCCATCTTTATCGGGTTTTTCGAGACTCGCGCCCCGATTTATAAAGAGCTCCATTATACTAGTATGGCCTTCGGAGGCGGCTAAAGCTAATCCGGATCTTGCATTTCCATCACAAATTTCCGGGCTAGAACTGTGTTGAAGTAAGAGTTCAACAACGGCCCAATGACCTTCTTTTACGGCGAGAAGAATCGGAGGGACATCTTTTTTATTCGTCACTAAAACGTTTGCTCCTCGATTTACTAAAGCTGAAACAACATTCGGGTAACCGTTTGTCGCTGCTATTGTTAAAGCGGTTTCCCCGATTAAAGAATCGCACTCATCGACTTGAACATCGGCCATTTCGAGGAGATATTCCACGATATCGGTGTGACCATGACCGGACGCTGCGATTAAAGCCTGTTGGGCCGCTTCGGTTAATCCAACATCTTCCTCCGGGTTTTTAATCACCCAATCACACGCTAAAAGGTATCCGACAACGTTAAAAAAGCCATTTCTTGCAGCGTGAACTAACGAACAATATCCCGCGGTATCCGCATGCCCCGGACTTGCTCCCGCAGCCACTAATTGCCGAACGATGTCACAATGCCCTTTAGCTGAAGCTAAAGATAAAGGAGTTGATCCTTGACTATTAGTTAATTCAACGTTTGCTCCAAACTCCAACAGAAGCGATACCATCGGGACGATTCCTTCACTTGCATACATACACAAAACAGTGGCATTCCCCAAAAAATTCGTGACATAATCCGGGGAAGCACCCGCTAATAACAACAATCTTGACACCTTTACGTTAGGGTTATAAATATTTCTTAGAGTACAAATAGCCGCGGAAATATTCGCGGAACTTTCCGCTACCCAATATGCTTGAAGATCTCTAGGCGAAGTCGTTTGAACCGACATATTTCTATAAACATGCGCTTTTAAAATATGATGACCCAACTCGAGAGTTTTTTCCGCATCTAAAGGCGCTTGCACTCTCGATAATCTAAAAGCAATCCCACAATGACCGGCTCTTAAATCGCATAAAAATTTCGTCCCCTCGTTGTCATCTCTTCTAATTAGCCACTCCCTGAATGATGGATGGAAAAACATGTAGGTGTTGTCTAAACGTTTTACGAGGAAGCCCGAAAGAAGTTTGAAACGTTGAAGGAATTCCGACCAAGGTAAAAATTTATCGACCAATAAAGAATTTACGGAATAATAAATTTCAAGGAGGGTTAAAGGATATAAAGCGGAAAGACAAACGCTGAGGATGTGTGTAACTTTTTCAAAGGATCTTATCGTCGGGAATCTTAAATTGAAATGGAGTAAATAAATTTGGGCCAAAGTAACCGGAAGAACTTTGTAACCCGAAGATTTCGCAACTAAATGTCCTCTATCTAACAAATCCAACGTTAATTTGCAAAATAAAAAGGAGCCGTGACTTAAATTTAATAAATATTGCGAAAATTTATGTTGAGTTATATTCCCACTTTCACTTCTTCCGGTCGTCGATAAGGCTATATTACTTTGTATCGATGTGCTTTGATTCACTCTCAAATTGATATAATCCAAAATATCTTTTTGAATATTTTCGTTACTAGCAACATTATCCAAACTAATTTTATTATATCTTAATTGCTTCGTAACTTCTTGTAACTGAGTCCTAACCGTTGTAATCACTTTCAACCAAGATGGAAAATGATACGTATGTTTTGCCAAAAATGATATAATAGTATCCCCATGATCGGGCCGATGATATTCCGCCTCACACAAAGCGTCAATCAAAACGATACAATAATTCACTTCAATTTTCCCATTTTGTTTTAACGTCGTAAGAGGTTCCAAAATCCCCCTTGTTAACGCCAAATCAGGATTTGCTATGCACTCCTTTAAAGATAAAGCGGCTTGTAGATGCTGTTCGTTCAATAAATGATATCTATACGCGGCTAATTGGGGCGCTTGGCACAGTTGAGCCGCTAATGAATGTATAAAATCGGGAACTAAACACGTATTATTATTATCCGCCTGGCAGAAATGATAAGCGACTACGTTTGAAGATAATCGCCTCAAATTTTCATTTCCAACATCGATTTGTTGATAAATTTGACTGTTTGGGGTTTGATAAATTGGTTCTTTTCGACGCCCAAAACAACTGTATTCGACTAATTGTAGGATTAAAGCTGTTTTTCCTGTTCCTTGATTTCCAGTTAATAAAACACCGGGACATGAAGCATCTAAAATTAGATTAAAAACATTAAATTGGTTTTAAAAATTTGTGTATTTCTAAATATCGTGTGTGAGAGTTGTGAATAACCTTAAAGTACTAGTTTGCTCGATATCTATGGATTTGAGAGCAGAGGAATCCTATTAAGAATAAAATTTGCTACAACTTTTGTTATAAAAGTTTTTTTGAAACTTGAAAAACCTCAAATATATCAAACTTTCATATTTTGCTCGATATTTGTGGACTTAAGAGCAAAAGTGTAAGAGAGGATTCTTATTAAGAATAAAATTTGCAACAACTTTTCTTCTAAAAGTTTTTTTACAACGTACACCGATTCCCAAGTGTTGCCTTTAATATCGTGAAAAAGCTCAAATACATCAAATTATCACATTTTCGTATTTATCTCTATATTGACGCATCTAAGAGCAAAAGTACGAGAGAGCAATATTGTTAAGAATAAAATTTGCTACAACTTTTGTTCCAAAATTTTTTTTGTAATATGCTCAGATTCCCCATTGTTACCATCAACAACTTGCAAAAAAAAATAACTGTCTGAATTGATCAAATTTTCATGTTTTGCTCGATATCTATGGATTTGTGAGCAAAAGTGTAAGAGTGGAATCTTATTAAGAATAAAATTTGCTACAACTTTTCTTCTAAAAGCTTTTTTACAACATCCTCCGATTCCCAAGTGTAACCTTTAATAACTTGAGAAAGCTCAAATACATCAAATTTTCATATTTTCGTATTTCTCTCTATATTGACGCATCTATGAGCAAAAGTACGGGAGAGCAATATTGTTAATAATAAAATTTGCTACAACTTTTGTTCTAAAAGTTCCTTTGTAACATTCTCTGTTTCCTGGATGTTACCATTACCAACTAGTAAAATAACGAAATTCGTAAAATTTTTATTTTTTCATATTTTTCTCGAAATTGACCCATCTGATAACAAAAGTGTAAGAGAGCAATATTGTTAAGAATAAAATTTGCTACAACTTTTGTTCTAAAAGTTTTTTTGTAATATGCTCAGATTCCCCATTGTTACCATCAACAACTTGCAAAAAAAAATAACTGTCTGAATTGATCAAATTTTCATGTTTTGCTCGATATCTATGGATTTGTGAGCAAAAGTGTAAGAGTGGAATCTTATTAAGAATAAAATTTGCTACAACTTTTCTTCTAAAAGTTTTTTTACAACATCCTCCGATTCCCAAGTGTAACCTTTAATAACTTGAGAAAGCTCAAATACATTAAATTTTCATATTTTCGTATTTATCTCGACATTGACGCATCTAAGAGCAAAAGTACGAGAGAGCAATATTGTTAAGAATAAAATTTGCTACAACTTTTGTTCCAAAATTTTTTTTGTAATATGCTCAGATTCCCCATTGTTTCTCAAATATTTCTCGATATTGACTAAGAATAAGAAAGAAAAGAAGATTATACAAATCTGATATGCAGTAGTCTTGATCAATTTCTACCACATTCATTATACTTCAAAATTGATTACTCATATAACTTGGAGTACACCTTAACCACATCTTATCTGCAGCTGATTAATTAATTCATATCATATTTCTTAAATACTTTAATATTTGATTGAGTATAATCACACTCTCACCCAGACATTTATTTATGAACTAAGTTTTTGTAATGAACTTACTTAAAGTATCTTCAATCTCTTTAATTAACCAACTTCTCCCAATGAACAACGGATCGGGTTCTTGTAAAGGCACCTCAAAAAATAAAGGTTTTAACGTTAATTGCGGTACTCGATACTGAGCGAATCTAATTTTCGGATCAACAGGTCCTTGAACCGTTCCCGTCCTCGCAGATCTTCTTATACAAGTTCTCCTCGATTGGAAGACGCTTAAATCTTCAACTTGACCCGGTTGGGTTGCTAAAAAAAATTTTTTTAGTCAAACTCTCAACACCTTTCTTTTTTAGCTCACTTGTGACGCTGTGTCTTCTACTAACTGGACTAGAACTACAATTGCTGGCTCCGGACATCGACATCGACATCAAAGAACCGACGCTATCCGAACTCGGATTGATCCTTTGTTGATCTTCGGAGCTTCCGGTTAATGTTGAAACGGGGCTGGTGTTGGTCGACATCATTGCTGGGTGATCATAACTGGCGAGTGATGAACAAGATTCGTGGGTTGTTCGGGATTGATGTTGCTTTTTATTTCTTCGCGCGTTATCGCCCAGTAATAACCCCAAACGCATGTACATTGCGCTTTCAGCTGATTTTGATTTAGTTGTGAGTGGTTTAACAGATCCGCCTTCGTCATCTAAAACAGACATTTTTTTTAAGATGATTTTTAAAAAATGGTTTTAAACAAATAAAAACCATGCAGAAGATATTTTTTTTTGGTGCTAAATAAAATTAAGAACAAAAAAATGGTGAGTTATGTCATGCTATACATAATTTATATATAATTTTAGCGTAACAAGAAAACACACGAAGATGCATTAACCGTGCCTGTAATTAATTGGTTGAGTCCTAAGCTGGCGCTTGAGCTTCCTGCGAACCACAACGACCGGATTTTTCCTAAAACGACGCTTGGCCAATGTTTCCCTTCGTTCGATGTAGTTGATGACGTCATTACAGCTATTTATTTTAGGGATTATTTTTGTGTGTTTTTTACTAAAAATACTAAAAATTACCTGATAATGCAACATCTCCTTGTTGTTTGACCGATCTGGACGTGAAAGGACTCCTCAATCCTTTAGGATTCAAAAAGAATTTCCTGCGGGATTGAGGCGGAGTTGGGCAACTCTGGGTCATGATGCCTTGATCCAGGCGACTTCTTGGTTTCGTTTTTGGAAGCTTCTCCGGGTGACCTTCAGGAGAGATGACTTCTCGAGTCTAATAAAAAATGTTGTCATTGTTAGTCATTTATTTAAAAATTAATTTATTTATAAACTTACTTGCATGTAATTTGTGAAGTGACCGTTCGTTTTTACTTTAGATCTTGGTGTGTATTCCCAAGATTTCTCCGATCCCGTTTGTTGAGGGCTTATTTCTCCGTATAAAGTTATTTCCGATCCTCTTAATCCAGAACATCCCATTCTGTTCGCAGAAGGCATCACTAAAATCACAAGATAGTGTGTTAGGGTACTTAGTTTTCTATTCTGAAGTGTATACCGTTTAATAAAGCCGGGTTCAGACATAACGGACACGATTCGTTGGTGAACATACAAGAGTAGCATCGTTCGTGGCCGCAATTGTCAATTAGACGTCTTTTCTTGCCCTTATCGAAGGGCATATCGCAGCTGGGGCACGTGCCGGGTCCATTTTCGGAGTCGAGAAGTCTTCGGATGGCCGCAAGGTCTGCAATAATAATAATAATATAAAAGAAATGTATAAAGCGAGATAAAGGTCTTAAAGTAACTGTTTATATGCACTTATGTAAATGCTTGGACGGCCGAAAATGTCGATTAGCTCTGGCTGCGTTGACCTTTCGCCAACATCTTGTTTATGGCGATTTCTAAAGTGCGCCCGAAATTCCACCATTTACGGTTTTAAGATATCAGTTTGCGATAATTGATTATTTAAAATTTCAATAAAAATTTCGATGCATTTTTTTTCAGGAATTCGAGTTATTTTTTTTTTTAATTAAGATATATACAGAGGATAAAAATTATTATAGTGGTCGTTTCGAAAACTCGGCCAAGTTGCGTAAAACGCGATTGCAGCGGATTGAACGAGATTAAAACGTTGCAAAACTCGATGTCATCAAAAAAGCACAACATTCAGAGTTTAATTACCATTTCCCACCTTTCACTATTCCATTTCACCTGTTTTGACCACACCTACAAAGAGAACTTTACCGAACCCCATCATCGCTAATAATCAAAACCGTTTCTTTTCACTGCCAACCAATGAACGGTCACGATTCCTAATTCATTCACACAGGCTACAGGTAAAATATTCTTACTTTCACCTGGCGTGGGTGTTCTTAAAACGAGAACGATACCCCCCGCGGGTTCAACACCACTCCACTCTTTTCCCTTTTCCTTCGCTTCTTTACTATGTAAGCCAATTTTACCATCACAACGTTATATCCCGCTGCTTTGACACGAAATTATTCGTCTCGTCGGCCAATTAAAGTTCAACAACGTCAGCTGCCGTCACGCAGATGATATCACGAGTACATATCATTTGAATTTAGTTTTTATATACCTAATTCTTTAAATTCCGTTTATGACCGCAATAGGATCTTCTTTAATTATTTAGTTTAAGGAGTCTCTTTAAACTACGACTCTGTAATTAAATAATTACCAAACGCCCACTATGTCCGTTAACGCTTAAGAAACTCTCTAGGAAACGCCCTGTAACGTTATTTATACAGTTTTTTTTTGCGTAGTTCTTGAAGTAGGTGGGAATGTTGTTTGCAGGTGTTTTCTTAGTTTTAATACGTAGGTAAATTACTATGAAATTAAAATTCAAATACTATTTATATATGTATAAGTTAAAGAATGCAAAAGTTTATTCCCAACAATTAAACACAGTTTATGGAAAAATCGCTGAAACGGATCTAAAGAATTAAATTTTGTTCTGAATTTAGTATAGTCAAGTTACATTACATTACATAGAATACATATCGGGTAGGCGGACCAACCAACCTTGCACCGCGACCCTAAGGATCTATTGTACCCCGATAGATATCGTTATCAAATTTCACCGTGCAGTCCAATGCTCTTAACGAACATTAATACCTTGCTCGGCGAAAGGTCATTCAGATCTTTTGAGGAGATAAACTGCGACCCAAAAATCGAGAATCTGATACGGTTAACGGCAGGGCAGTGGCATAAAACATGCTCAACCGTCTCTGCTTCCTCCGCACATAGTCGGCATTCAACATCGTCGGCTAAACCCAACAAGTTGAGGTGTGCTTTTAATCGGCAGTGCCCAGTAAAAACACCCATTAGAACTTTTATGCTACTACGGGCAAGTCCTAAAATATTCCCGGGTTTGACAGTGGCGATGTTAATAAACACCTTAGCATGTCTCATTCCAGGAGAACTGGTCCACAGTAGGCGAAGTCTCTCTTCAGCCCACAGTCCAATCCTATATTTGGCCATCGCAAATGATACACCAACTGCTGGTTCCGGTCCCACAAACGCTTCAGCGCTGCCATCTCGTGCTAGCTTATCTGCCGCTTCATTGCCAGCAACCCCAGAGTGACCCGGGACCCAGATCAGAGAGACTCTGTTATCACAACTCAGTGTGTTTAATGTTCTCTTACAATCATTAACCAGAGCCGACACCGTTTTCACGGCTTGCAGCGCCTGGAGAGCGGCTTGACTGTCTGAGAAAATTCGTACTGTCATGTTCTTCACCCCTCTTTCAAGAAGGATTTTAGCACCCATGTCAATAGCAAATACTTCCGCCTGGAATACAGTACAGTACGTACCCAGGCTGTAGGCTTGCTTAATTCGAGGTGTCTGGCAGTATACTCCTGCTCCTACCCCTTCAGGCGTTTTTGATCCATCTGTGTACAAGCAAATGTCTGCCCGAACCAGAGAATTTTCATTTTCGATCCAGGACTGCCGCTCAGGCAGTACAATCTGGTATCGAGCATTAATCACTGATAGTGATACCGCCAAATCTGACGGCATTGATAGCACAGTATCAGTGCTTATAATGTCTTCCGCAGCCCATTGGTAGGACATGTCGGAACAGTTTTGAGCATATTGCTTAAATCTGTAAATGGTTGTTCTAGCCACTTTCTCTATATGCAAATGCAGAGGAGATAGGCCAAGCAGAACCTCCATTGCTAGAGTTGGCGTTGTGCCTATCGCACCAGAGATTGCCAATCCAGCTACTCGTTGAATTCGTGAAAGTTTACTGATAACTGAAGTCTGTCGGACTTTCCTATACCAGGCTGCTGTTCCGTATGTGATCATAGGTCTAACCACAGTCACATAGAGCCAGTACAGTCTTTCAGGGGTAAGACCCCAATTCTTTCCACAAAGACTGCGACAAGTCCACAAGGATAGTCTAGCTTTGTGCACAACTCCCTGCAAATGTCCATTCCATGACAGAGTTTTGTCTAGGATTACTCCTAGATATTTGACTTCCTTTGAGAAAGGAATTTCTTCACCTTATAGTCAAGTTAGTTACATTCGAACGTGCTTGGGTTTGACAATCCAACCATCTTAATCTAACACAACCCAACCCAACCAAATCTAACACAATCCAACTCAACCCAACCATGTATCAAAGCTTGATTTTGAAGTTGCATTGTGTTGGATTTTATTTACCCTTAAGTTTGGGTAGTATTGGGGTTGAGTTGCTATGATTTCTAATAACTCTACTCAATCCAACCCAACCCAACCATGTATCAAAGCTTAATCACGTTGAAACTACATTACTTTGGATTTGGGTTTCCTTGAATTTGGGTAGTATTGATGAAATTATTCATTTCCACGATTGCAACTCTATGTTCTGAGATTATCTGAAATCATTTGAGGTTGAGTCTAAGATTAAGTCGATTAAATGGCAAAATTAATTATGCACATCGAATAAATTTCGCCATATAGTTAATTTAAATCGAAAAGACACCTGCAAAAAGTGAAGTAAATAGAATCTGTACTTTCATTTCTTCCATAATCACGCATAAGTAAGGTTTTAAGTAATCAGCATAGGTTATTCCACTTGTTCGCGACAATCGTTTTCATCCATAAGCGGTCTAATTGGTTATTACGGCCTCCACGGAAGAATTCGCAATTACCAAGAATAAAATCGGCTTCACGGTTGCACAACGAGCGTCCTGGCGCTGTTGTAGTCAGCGTGGCGACGCTGGGTGTCTTAAGACTAATAATTTTACTTGGTGCTACAGGTGACGTCGTCGCCGTGGTGGAGTGAACGTAGTCGTAGGGACATCGAGGTCAACGTGGCCTCGATACGAACGACGGAGAAACACGATTTTCGCTGATATTTTCAAAGACTGAGCGGCGGCGAGTTCTCTCTGGGTCCGATTTATTATGCCGGCCATTTTTCCGACGCCTTATTGCCCAATAACTTTAATATAAAGCGGCCGAGAACCTCTCACGAACTCTCTTTCTTTGTATCGAACTCAACTTTGTACAAAGACGACCGTCCAGGTGGAAATCTTACTCAAAACTGTTACGAAATCGATTAATAACCTTCTCTTATATTCGAAGAGAAAAGTTTTTATTAAAATTTATCTAATTTACTCTTAAATTATATAAATTATTAAACTATTGACCTGTTTATATATAATCTTTAATTCAAGGCTCTACATGATAATAAATAGAAAATAATTTAAATCAAAAATAATAAAATTAATTACGAACAATTCTAAGAAATTAATGAATCAAAAAATTCTTACAAAAATTTGTTAATTCTGGATCTGTTGAATGCGGTCTTCTTTTAACGAGGCGTTTCTTTCTTTCGCGAGTTAAGTCCCAATTTGACATTTTCTTCAACTTTAATTTAATTAATTGAAATTAACAATCACACCATTGAACGTTTTAAATATAACTGATGAGATATCGACTACAATTCGTGTGGAAACTTTTATCTTTTTAGATAACACATTTTTAATTGTTAACTGGTGACAGCTGAGAATTATTTTTATTGTCTAGCGCCAGGATGGAGCCTTTCAAAGATTTAAAAAAAAACAGTATTATTATCGGCGTTTTTCACCTCGAAAAAGTAATCTTGTGTTTGTCTTTTTTGTAAAAAGGATAAATTGTGTTACATAATCTCTAAGTGTTACCAGGAAATCTTATCTTAAACTTTAATTGTTAAAGAAAACCTAAAAATAAAGAAATAATATTTATGTTAAATTACATAACCCATTCAATCTAACTGTTATTTTACTGAGAAATCTTATCTTACACTTTAATTGAAGACCTAGATCGAATGGAGATGAATGAAATGAAATTGTCTTTGCTTTTTACTACGAAAGAAAGATAGAGAGTAACGGGACTTTTATTTAAACTGGTTTTGTTTAAACAAGTCAAGTGTGCACTTTGATGTGTTTACTTTACACAGAGAAAAATAAACGATTTCCCAATTTTCTTTTCGATTACCTTTCCAAGTTGAACATTTTTATCAAAAAAATCCTTTGGCACTTTTACACTTTTTAATTTCTTTAATTTATTTGAAATTGATAACTTAAACCTGGAAATGGTCAGTGTTGCTAAGGAAAGATCGAAACTAACTGTTGTCTCTTATAAAGTTTTGCTAACAGCAGGTGTGGACGTGGGTAGAAAAGACATCGTAGGCGAAGAGATGTTGGTGGGTAGAGTGGACGTCGTCGTCGTCCGGGAGTGGTGACACTTCTTCAAGGTCAAAAT